TGGTTTTCTACGTAGTTCCTTTTATGATTTTGTTGTTCACACTTCACGAAACGTGAAGTATTTGAAAATATCATTTCCATTCTCCTTAGGTACTCAGCACGATCCATCAGCCCAGTCCCAGATCCTTTGTCCGGTTTGGTTACGATGAGACCCTCGTTTTTCTGGTTTCTCACATCAATACGTGCATTCGTCAGTACAACGGAACAGTTTTATACGGTTAAAATAGCTAATGCTTAAAGGTCGCGTGGGATGGTTATAAAGAAACTTCAAAATACAAAAATTATTGCTAGCAAAATTTGGTTTACACCGGTGAACTCACTGAGGTGTACGTAGTGTAAGCTGTAAATCTAAGGTAAATCCATAAAGAATGACAGCAAATGGTATGTTGGTAAAATTGTATCTCCTCTTGGAGTACACATACAGGAGGTAAAACCGTGGAACGAAAGCTGGGATTTGACCGCCGATGAAATCGCTTACAAACACTTGTGTTTATCGTTTGGTAATGAGTCATCTAAGATGGCGCAGCGAAATAAGTGCACGGTCAACTCGGGCTTTGAATTCTGCCAACGTGGGAGCACATATGACAGATTTCGGTAGGGCATTTCACGTTCTGCAAACGCGCACGGAAAAGAAATGCCGACGACATTCCAAACGACTGTGTTGCTCTGCCAGTTTGAGATGGTGGCCTCTCAAATTGCTGTTGTGGCTGAGCTCTAGAACGTAGCGGCATGTATGGTTGGGATCTCTCGCAATCTGGTAAGTTAAAATGAGGTCCCCGCGCAATTGCCGATACCGTCTGCTGAAGACCCCGAGCACTTGAAGCCTTCGTCCATACGGCAAATTATACAGACGATATGTTTGGTTGCCCGACATTGGAGTATCTCCAAGGCGGTGAGATCTCTCCTTAGCCATGGCTGCCAGACCTATATTGCTTATCCCATATGTGGACGTATGTATGGGCCGAGAAGCTTTGGAAAAATCGAATCGTCCGAAAGCGCGCCTCAGGAGACCCAGGTGTTGGGTACTTATCCTTGAAACCGTTTCAGCTTGATTTGGTGGTGTTCTATTGGTTGTCTTTGGTAGTGAAAACAAAGGTTGACCAAAGTTGATTTGAACTGCTCAAGTTCCATATCAGATCTGGCCACCAAGTCGTTCGTCTGCTTTATTAGGTGTTCACCGGTTTTATATTTCAATAGGATCGTATTTCTTTTGCAAACGGCTAAATTTTAGACCGGGCGAAAGTGCCTGCAACTGTAGTCTGTCTGAACTTGACGTAATAAATGGCCATTCTGCAAGTTAAAACACAGCAAATGAGCCCAGACGCGCAAGGAACTTAATCAGTATATTAAGCTCTGCGTGAGATTTGCCGAAACCGAAGCATCCATTAAGTTCCACAGGCTTTGCATCGAAACGCGAGATTATCCAGAATCATTCTGGATAGCACTGTGGAGACATCACATACGGCTCAGTGCTACTAGGTTGTAACGGCACGCACTCAACCTTATTGTATGGGATAGAACGAGACTAGAGAAAACCAAAGGGGATATTGCACAAAAAGAAGTCGCGCTGGGCACACACCACGATGAAGAACTTACCCCTTTTCTTACTTATGTGCGAGGCGTAACGTGTAGACAAGAAACGATGTAGAATGCAGAAAAAGTTCAGCGAAACAAAGTGTCAAACTAAGTTTCCAACAGTTCCAGAACAATACGTGTACAATCTATCCGGTGCTCACTTAGACAGACTACAGCTGCAAGCGCTTTCACTCTGTCTAAAAGTTAGCTATCTGCAAAGACATACGATCACCTTGAAATAGAAACATCTTTCTCAGGCCTGTCGCCATAAAAGGCCCACAAACTAGGTCGGGTCACAGCAAGTGGCTTAGAGCCATCGAATCGTTGAAGCTTCGGTAAACTCCAGTAGGCTAGCAGTGCTCTGTCTGTTGAGTATTCTGAATGAGTCATGGGGGATTTGACACGTATGACAGTCGATTAGGTGCAAAGCCATGGAACTGATGTATTCCCGTGTTCGCCATATACAGTGTGTCATTCTCTGAGGGTGAAATATTTCCGTGTGCGCAATTTTCGTGTGTAGTTTTTGCTGTACGCAATTTGCGCCTACATCAGGAGTCACGAGCATAACTCGTACTATACTGCCTTTCAAATTACGAACATTGCAGAATAAAGGGTAATCAAGAGATTTATAGCTTCCACTAATAGCAGTTATGTGCGACATAGCAGTAAGGAGTTCTTAGGGTGGATAGTTTGGTGCGCCTTCGAGTAAGAAACTTTGATATAAGTAATTGTCGTTTCATCGTAGCAGCTTCCAAACAAGACAGTCGCCCATACGATGTGCGGTGGTTTATCCTGAAAATTCCCGACCTACAAATATGTCTACTTTCGTCCAGCTGTTTCCACTAATGACACTATGTTCCGGCATTTTTCAAAGTATTAGTTTATTTGCCGTGGTCAACACTTGAAAATGTTACATTAGTCACAGAATATCCGAACGCCGGATATGTTTTAACAATCACTATACTGCACAATAACTATCCTGCGATTTGTTGACTATTAGCCAATGATCATAGTAGAGTGAAAAATAACTCCTCTTACCCAATAGCATGCAAGACATAGTTACCGTGCTCTTCAAAGAGTTCGCCATGTTATCGGCAAAGCGTGTTTTGATTCTAGTATTGTATTGTACAACCGATTTGTCAGATCGCTTCACCAAGCAAAGGCCGTATTACCATCTGCTGCAACGTTGGAGTTGCATTCAGCAATAACGTGCAGATATATTGTTAGAGCTGAGGAGTTCACTGTCATAACCTCCGATTCGTAGCAAGCTATTAAGGTGTGCAATTTAAGAAAATTGTCTCAGTCTGGTATGCTACGTAATATAACATGCGATCATTGCTTTTATTCTTAAAGTAACTGACAAGATTCAAAGGGGATAACCGCTGCACGGTATGGCTAAAACAAGTGGTTAATTGCGCTGTGATTCGATACTACCCGTTTAGCTCCCCTAGACTGCAAGGCAAACTGCACAGTACTATCCTGGCTAAATGAACCAAGCAAGGTGAGACATCCAGGGGGAATCTTAATAAAGCGTGTCGCGGCTGAAATTGAACTTCTCATTGGAAATATTTTTATGATATTTTTCAAATTGCGTGCTCCAGAAGCAAGCTGAGGCGAAATACCAAACTGAGAGGTTGACAAGTCAAACTTGGCACGCACTAAAGGCGTGATTCTGAGTTTGGGCATCTCGAATATGGAACGCTCTTCCAATCCACGTTGACTTTGCCACCACATTAACGCTTAAAAAACCGCATAGATTATAGGCTCGCCCACTTTCATTACTTGATATGGTCCGTTGTAATCGGAGGACGTTTCAACACTAGCCAAACTAAGTGCACAACAGTTCTTTCCGCAACTTGGTGGTTAATAAACTTGCATCAGTGATCATGTGAATCGCTTGGATATACCCAAACTAGATTTACGTAGCACATCTGCCCAAAAATCGGCACACAACTGAGCGCTGTCATTTTCTTTCTCTCTCGCGGTATAGGTAAAGTATAACTGCACTCCATATTACTTTGTGTGCGCACATTCCATTCACATCCCAAACTATCGTTATGCAGAAGTGCAGTTAAACCGGTAGACGCTCAAACTGACGACCCACATATCCCTTGAATTTTCACTTCAACCATCCTATGGGACTTGTCAAGCACTTGATATTTTACCCGTGATAAGTCATTGTTCGTCTCCGGCAGCTGCCAGCCCATAGCAGACCCAGCCACAGCTCCTATATTGTACATTATTTTGATTTCCGGAACTACTGTTACAGGTATATAATAGTCTTTCTGAGAAAAATGTCTTCCGCCAGACAGCACTGCTTTAAATTCAGTCGAGTCGCTGTACTACTGACTACCGAAGCTACTGTGAGGCAACATGTGGCAACGATCGATTAATTCGATATCATGGGTTTCCAGCGGAACACTGCGCCAAGGTAGTGAGCTAGGTGGCATGAATCATAAACCGAGACGATTGTCGGCCAAAGCTCTCCTCTGACCCCTTCTCCTCCGAGTATCAAGTTATTTATTCGCGCTTTTCTCCACTGCTGGTAACTATAATTGTTATGGGGACGCGAAGTATAGCAGCTGGATCCATCGAGATCCGCTAACCGCTGGGACCCAATCATTAAAATCCCAGTTATGCCTTCTCCTATTTTGGGCGACAGTACCGCCTTGTTAATCATAAGTAGATGGCTGGAGAGCAGACACTGGAGACTGCTGACACGTAATCAGTTAAGAAGATGGATATGATAGTTATCAGCATTATCCCAAAGTACACCAAATAACGTGAAAGCTAATGTGGGAATGTGTAGTAAACCAGATCACTTTCATCGTGGATAAATATGGACCTCAGTTGTTGTGGAGTTCTCCGAGCTGGGCAACTTGGTTGCAAACGTTTCGCCACCATTCGAGATGGCATCTTCAGTGCGGGATTGATAGCAGTAAAGTAGCAGGTAGAAAGCAAACCCATTATTGGGTTTGCTTTCTACCAGCTACTGCTACTTTACTGCTATCAATCCCGCACTGAATATGCCACCTCGAATGGTGGCGAAACGTTCGCAACCAAGTTGCCCAGCTCGGAGAACTCCACAACAACTGGGCAAGCCTCCCGAGCTACCAATATTCCAAATATGGGCCTCATGCACACATGCCAATGGGTCGGGTGCTCCGCGAAAGCAGCAGCAGCAGCAGTGAAGTCACACGTGTCACTACCTCTTGCCATCTACCGCTTAATGGGTTTCATTTGGGGGGGGGGTGCATGCCACAATAAAAATGCGCTCTACATGCTGATTGCGGCGGATCTGACCTGCTGTTAAGCTTTACTACCACCGGTGCCCTCTGACGGAACGGTTACAGCAGCGACCAAGGATAAGGAAAGATGCACTGCGCATAAGGCGCTATTGCAGAGGTGTGGCACGCAAAGTAATTGAAAAGCAGACAAGCGAGTGCACTTTATTTTAGAGACAAATCAGCTCACAAAATCGGATCAAGAGGAAGCCGGTGGCTTCCGTCACTGTGGTGAAACGGTAACGCACAAGCGAAGATTCAGGTGGTTGGATGCTCCACCCCCAAGCACAACGGCGACCGCATGCACGTGTTACACATTCCATATGGCTTTATACAGAGTAGGGAAGGTGGAGCAGAGGAGAAACTCGAAGACGATGACTGAGGATTTAGTGTTGACTCAATGGATGATACTACGAGGTTTGCATCAATGGTGCCAAATTCGATTCTATGTTTAGATCTGGCACACCAGAAGAGGGAAATAATGTAGAGTTGGTCAATTTGGATTCCCAATTTTCTGTCGGCTGTTTGCCGCTGCAAGGAAAGAGAGTATGGGGAAGGGTGAAAGTAGGAACGATAAAGAACGTAGTTCAGTTGAAGGAGCACGATCCGCGTACCGAAGTGTGCAGAAAAAATGCATGCATGTATTTAAAAAAAGAATGACAAGCGGGGTGATGGATAGTAGTGGTTTTAAATGTAGCTAACGCATTGATGAAAACATTATTAACACTGGGAATGTAAGCGTTATTCTCCGCCGAAAAAGAGAATGAAAAAGGACACTAGTCAAAAATAGTTACTGTACGCATGCGTAGGGGATTTTGATATAATTAATTGAGGTTCTTCGCAGCCAGCTTCCAAATCAAGTAGTCGTCCAGGCATGTGGACGACTAACTGATTTGGAAGCTGGCTGCGAAGAACTTCAATTAAGAAATATTTACACCTATAAACTCAGCATCATAAAAAAGCTAAGAGGCGACAGACGATAATCATTTCTGAATTCGCACGTTACCTTCAAACTGGAGCGTGGTAAAAGACCAGGCGAAGGGGTACACTGATGGTATCGCCCACAGCTTGTTGGTATCCATAATCGATATGGATACAGTCACCAGCGCAAAAAATATTACTAAGGTTATCCTAGTCATATCGTTCCTTGCTAAATCGTTCGTCGGATGATCCACTAATTAAACGGAAGCCAGCATTTGTCGTATTACAGCGTGTGGTTTATAGGAGTCGGGAAATAGCAACCCATTAATTATTATTGCGCTAAAGACGCATCGAAGTGCCCTAGTGAATTGGGACACAATTGGGATTATCTGTCTGAGCTGGCCGCGAAGAAGCTTAACTAACCTACACCAAAAATCCCATACTCATAGGTAATCAAAACAAACACGCATGCAATTTCTAGATACTAAGCTCTACATGGATGCTGTATGGTGAGTCGCGGTTCTGGGGCCAACCCTAATTTTTGCGAAGTTCGTAACTTTCATCGCGATGTAGTATGTGCCGCAGTAGATTGTAGTTAACTATTAATGAAGGTGGTTTTTCCCGTCATTCACGACCTAGTGATGCAAGGCACTGAAGACGAGTGTGTATGGGTTCGGTTCCTAATGAGGTTCGGATATGAGCGGTGCTGACAAAGTTCAACAGGACGGAACAGCAGGCTATCACTTTTCTGGATGCGTGGGAGGCTGTCTGGCTTAAAGCTGACTACCACGTGTCAAAGTAAACTCAAAGGAACACTATTGGTCAACGATTGGACATTGGTGGGGAATATTTTGCAATCGCCCGGCGCAATTTAATCCAAACTAGTTGCTTAAATGACAATCGCAGTGAACGTAACGGAGTGAAAATCAGGGTTTATTCGGAGGGCCGGCAGGGACAACAGCTGATAGCATAAGGATCAAAATCATGAGTGAGGACTTATCGAACTATCTGATGCCCAGGCTGTGACTATTCGCCTACTATATCGCTATCTATCCATCGCAATGAGGCTGGACCTTACCGTGGTGCGATGGTTTGTGTGCCTCAGCGATCCATTGAGCTACGCTGGGTGTTGCTTTTGCACCTTCAGAGTCACTCATACCAGATTGGTCAATGGTTAGAGGCCAGACAAACGCAGCCTCCTGGTCCTCCAGGTTGGGGGTTGGAATGAGGGTGGCACCTTATTCCTTAAAACGGACTCCTTGTAGCCCAACGCCAAACCCGCTGCCTTGCGGTCAGGTTTTCTGAACCAAAGGCTTTGGTTGAGAACCCTAATCGTTCTCCTGTCTAGGCCTGGGCAACCTGACAGTATCCTGCCCACGCAATACCATGAATATTATCTCAAACAAATTGCTGATGCTCTGGCCACCGCAGAGGATAATCAACGGTGCCCTATCTGCTGCATCGAGCAGGGTGGATAGGGGTTTGGATGCTACTGCTCAAGCCTTCCCGTCTTCTTATTCCCCATCTTACGCTTTTTCACTTTTACCATCCCGTTCCATCTTCACTTTTATCCCCCAGTTTTCAGCCCCCCGATTCTTGGCCCTCCCCCAACATGATTTGCTAGGCATTTATCTTCTAATTTCAACTCACATGTGAACGCGGAGCGTCACTCCTCTCCTGTCGACAAGCCCATGTCCAATCAAGCGGTCCATTCCAGTTCATCGGCTTCCATTTGGAGCCCACGATCCTCCTTCAGATTGGCATGCCTCAATGTACGCACACTACTACAGATCGGTCAACAGGCAGCACTTGCCCGAACATTGGTGACCCTCTCGATCGATATCTGCTGCTTATCAGAGACCCGCCTGCAAGACTCGAGCTGTGCTCACTCTGCGATCCCCTTCAGGTGACGCAAGCAGTATTTTCTCAGTGCGCCTATCCGGTGACGATGCAGCTTCGAGCACCGGCCAAGCTGGTGTTGGCATTGCCCTGAGTCCCCGGGCTGAAGCTGCTCTGGTTGATTGGATTCCAATCAGTAGCCGGATGTGTGCGGTCCGATTGGCTGGCTCGTTTAAAGCTTCGAAGTCGCGTGGGACTAATAGGTGTCTATTCATCATCGCTGCCTACGCGCCCACAAACTGTAGCGATGATTCGGTAAAGAACGACTTCTACCGCCAACTGACTCAGCTCCTTCGCCACAGAAGAAGCACGGACACTGTAGTGCTGGCGGGGGATATGAACGCACAAGTTGGAAAGTTGTCCACTGATGAAATGCATCTGGGTGGTCAGCACGGTGTAGGCTCCCGTAATGATAACGGTGAGTGGTTACTTCATTTGTGTGAAGATGCTCGCTTATTTCTTGCGAGCACTAATTTCCGACACAGCACCCGCCGGAGGGTGACTTGGCGCCCACCAGCCTCGAACCAGCCTTGGACGCAGATCGATCACATTGCTATCAGTTACCGCTGGAGAGGCTGCATCCAGAATTGTCGCTTGATTTGGAGCACATGTGTGGACACCGATCATGCACTTGTATGTGCTGACCTGCGGATGCGCTTTGGCGGACGCCCACGACGACGCTGTGAGCGCATTGACACCAGCCAACTGACAAAGCCAGCTGTTCTGAATGCGTATCAAAGTACGCTGACATGCGAGTTGAGCAATCGCTCACTGGAGACAATTGATGGTCACTGGTCACATGTTCGCCAGACCTTACTAGCAGCGGGCAAATCCTCATGTGGTATGTCTAATAGCCAACATGGACATTGGGTCTCTTCTCGGTCTCTGGAACTTATCGACGCTCGCCGGCATATCCCGACTGGAAGCGAGCACAATGAAACTCGCAAAGAGCTCCGGGCAAAACTCCGCACTAGCCTGAAGAGAGACCGCGAATCTTGGTGGTCTCATCGTGCGTCAGAGATGGAAGTGGCCGCTGCCCTTGGCAACCATCGTAAGTTATTCCGTCTGATACGGGAAACGGGCAGCAGGAGACCTGGTGTTAGTGAAACAATTTGTGATGAGAGTGGACAGCCTATCCACAATTTGTCAAAACGTTTGGAGCGTTGGGCTGAGCATTTTGAAAAGCAATTTAATCGGCTAGAATTGTTCGATTCTTCACCGGCGAGTGATCGCCCTGCTCCGTGGGCTGTCCCTTTGGATCCACCCTCTCGCTCAGAAGTCGAACGTGAGATCGGACTGTTGAAGTTGAACAAAGCCGCGGGACCAGATGATCTTCCTCCAGCCCTCTTCAAATTCGGAGGCTCTGCTCTTGTTGATGCTTTACATGAATTACTAGTGAAACTGTGGGAGCAGGAGACTGTCCCAACCGACTGGAGCCGCTCCGTTATTGTTCTCATCTTCAAAGGCGGCTCGCGCTCGGAATGCGGCAACCATAGAGGAATCAGTCTGATCTCCATCGCCTCCAAATTACTCGCCTCCATAATTCTTCACAGACTGACTGGCGCTCGTGAAAGCCAGATTCGTGAGGAGCAAGCCGGGTTTCGTCGGGTCGTGGCTGCATCGACCACATCTTCACCTTGCGTCAGTTGTTGGAGCACCGTCACACATATTGGCGGCCCACCGTTGTCGTGTTCCTCGACATCAAAGGTGCCTTCGATTCGGTTGATCGATGTGCCCTTTGGAATTGTTTACTCAGGAAAGGTGTGCCAGAGAAATATGTAAATATTATCCAAGCATTATATGCGCGTAGCACGGGCAGAGTGAGGGCTTACGGCAAGCTGTCGCCACCCTTCAATATCTCCAGCGGTGTGAGACAAGGATGCCCGCTGTCACCTTTCCTCTTCAACTTCGCTATTGACGAAGTCATGGAGATTGCATTTACAGGACATGACTTGGAAGGTGTGGAGCTACTCCCAGGAGAACGACTTCTTGACTTGGAGTATGCAGACGACATTGCCCTCATCTGTGACAGCTCCCAGACGTGCCAAGCCGCGCTGGACAGATTAGCACTGGCTGTCAGCCGCTTCGGGCTTTGCTTTGCACCATCGAAATGCAAAGCGTTCCTCCAAGGTTGGCAGGGATCGCCTCCTGCGCTGACCCTTGGTGGGGATCAGCTAGAAGTCGTTCAGAAATTCAATTACCTGGGAAGTTGTATCAGCGCCCTTGGGATCGAAGACGAGATCACGAACCGTATAGCGAAAGCTCGGAGTGCTTTTGCTAACCTTCGCCACCTATGGCGGCGGCGCGACATCACTCTCGCCCTGAAGGGTAGAGTGTACAATGCAGCGGTACGTTCGACCTTACTGTACGGTTGCGAAACCTGGCCCCTAAGGTCGGCGGACATGAAGAGGCTAGTTACGTTCGACCATCGGTGCCTTCGCAGTTTGGCTCACATCTGGTGGGAACACCGCGTGAGTAACGAGCGTGTTCGACGCATTGTTTACGGCCCAGGAAAAGGATCTGAACCGCTCAGCACCGTTATTTCCCGCACCAGGCTCCGATGGCTGGGCCACGTGTTGCGCATGCCAGCCCACCGACTCCCGCGACGTGCGTTGTTTGCTCACCGGGGATGTGGGTGGAAGAAGAGGAGAGGTGGCCAAGCGATGACTTGGTCCAGAGGAATGAAGTCCATCACTTCGGAGCTAGCCTCGGTTGGAGCGTCACGGCTTCCTGGTTGGGGTCCAAAAGACGGTGAACACGTTTGGCTGGATACACTTGCTGACATGGCAAGGAGCCGACCTCAGTGGCGTTCGTGCTGTGAGTTTCTTTGTCCCTCCCCATCCCTTTTAGTCTCCCCCTCCATCTACGATCTCATTTCCTAGGGTAAAACATAATAAAAAAATTTTCTTTTTGCCTAGTAGCTGGCTGGAAGCTTACCGGAACGATGCCTATCCGTTGCTGGTAGCTCAGCTGGCATGCAACTGTTGTATCTATTTTTCCTTTGTGTATTGTGTTATATGTATGTATGTATTTCCTTCATGTATTGCGGCACAATAGCGGAGGTGTTTTCCCACCTCTAGCTGACGTGTATAATGATGAATAATGATATCGTTATCTATATAAGTCGACCGCTACATCACCCGGGAGCCTTTCGAAGGGGGTAAAAGCATTTCACCGGTAGTGACTGAGATATAGAAACTACAAAAGTAGCACAAGCCAAAAAACGAACGGTGTTTAGCGCACCTAAAAGAAGAACCAGAGCAAAGTGTGTTTGGAAAAGGACGAAACTGTCACCACTCACTTCGATTCATCCGAAGCCGTTTCCGAAGGCTGCGCAACACCTTGGTCAAACTGAATAGAAGGTGCGGGCTCGTTGCGCTGAGAGGCTGTTTGCTCCGCAGGCGTGATACCCATTGTCTGTGCTAGAAACAGATCAGCCTCTCGCTCTTCACGCAAGCGGATCAATCGGCCGTATTCGCGCTGAAGATCAGCGTTTCGTTTCTGCTGGCGCTGAACATCCATTTCCAGTGTCTGTGAAAAAAGGGAGATAGATGTAAGCTGGAACATAAATCAGCTAAGCGAGACAACATAAATGACGCTGGATAAGAAAGGACAAAAACATATAGATTGTTACGCTTTTCTCCAACTCAGACGACTCTTGTAAACTTTAGCAATACTTAGAATATTGCAGTAGACAACGGGGGTTATTTGACATGCGTGTTGTTGCAGGAAATGTAACTCCTGTCTACGCAGGACGATCATCCGGAAAGAATGTATACATGTAAGCCACGAAAAAGAGGGAAAAGTAGATAGGGAGTACGGCTACCATCAAACTATGAGCAAAAGGATGGATTCCACACGGAATAGTTGCAACAGTATAAACGCGAACAGCCACTAACCTCTAGGCGACGAACTATTGCGCCCGACTCTTGTTCGTGTAGTCGTTCGTAAGTGGTCAGCTCCATTTGGCTCTGCTCGATTTGATCCACACTCTCCTGGATCGCTTTCATCAGCGTCTGCGCACGTGACTGAAAATAAGGCCAGTGGAAATGGCAAACAGGGTGAATTCGACAAGGCAAACTCTCACTCAGAAATGGGAATGACGTGTAGATGTGATCAGTTTCAGATTTGTGCACAATGAAGAGTAATGTATACCTAGCCGTATAAACGGTCGGTAGATCGGAGCCAGAAACGCAAGCAGTCCAGTTCAGTCTGCTCAACGAGATTTGTGCAGTGAATGGTGGTGGATCCAGTTAGCATTGTAAAAATGGTTGGTACATAGACTTACAGATGAAACTTGAAGGGGGATAAATAAGGAGGTATGGTTGCCAACAAACCTAATACGTTTCTAACATGATAAAAGATACATTGTACACAGAGTTAGCACTAGAATCAACACCTGTTTGTTACATCACAGGGTGGGTTGTGACAAAAGATAGTTCAGTTGCACCACGGGTACGAATGGATTTGTGTTCGATTGGGTTTGATTCACTCCAGCCCAGTTGATTTTGCCTTGATCAGTTTCCCGGTACCGGGTGTAGATCCGTTTATTTCGCCGCCTGGAGCCTACGTTTTGTGTGTTTGTTAATGTTTAGAGGTCGGATCAGTTGTGCAAACCCCTGAGATGTCGCATTCAACGGTCCAATGTGTAGAGTCACCAGCTAACATGAAGCTGACTGATCAAACGTCATTTGCCCATTTTGTATGAGGTTTGATCTATACATTCGGTCTAGAGGAAAGGACGGAGGTAGCCGGGCGTTGCTCATTTCAGTGTGCCATTAATGAGAGACAAGAAGTGGCACAAGCAGAGGAAATCGGATAAGGAGGGGGCAGCCAAAGAGTGCATGAGCAGCTTGTGCTAGTGTGTTTTTACCGTTCAACATCGAACGATTGAATGCAGGCTGAGATATTAATGCTCAGGGAGTAAAAATGGGGGCGGGGGCTGCAAGTCAGACATACATGAACCGCAACGCCATGCCAAGTGTGAGCAAGCCCTTTCGTAAATGTTACACTTCGTCCAGATCGCACTTGTAACGACAGAACTACGCTAAATCTAATTACGTCGCAAGAAATGTACATAAATAATGCTAATTCGGGTTATAAACCTGAACTAGATGCACAGCCTGAGCGGAAGATTTGGTAACCGTGGTTCTAAAGGGTTGAATAATGTACAAGATATAACTCACGACCAGGTTCGTAATGTGCAGGCAGCGGGCGGAAGCAGATCATTGTAACCGCAATGTTAGTAACAGAGTGACAAAAATGTGACAATAAGACATAAAGTGCTTGGAATGACGCGATTAACTAATGAAACGCGTTTGAGAATATAGCAATCTAAGGTGCGAAAATTGTGTTATTAGTTCGAAAAGGTGAGACCAGGTGGGAAAAGGGACACTGATTCATCAAGAGGAAATGATCCATCTGGTGCAGGAAAGCAAAGTTCTTCATGACTTTACGGTAGTGAAGTCTGGTCAGGTGCATACATGTTGGGCGGCAGAGTGCAGCCGGAATGGATATCGCTCACTTGATCAGAAGCGATGGCGCGATCAAGATAATGCGTAGCAGCTCATTGTATACCGAACATTTAGTTCACCTAATAGAATGCAGAGGGGTGCCAAGTCTGGGAAGGCTGAGTACTGACATAACGATACAAGATTCAAAAATCTCACTAGGGTGAAATGCATTGGGCAAATGCTAACCACTGTGCTGTTCAAAACGACGGTGAAAAGTTTCTGTCATTGAGAATACCTCTGGTCAGAATGATGCGTAGCCGCTGAACCAGCTGTGGAGTGAAATCACTGGATGAAATAGACGAAACCCATGATAAAATGATGCTCCATTCGCAACAAGAAGTGTCCAGTAAACACGATAGTGTGAAAGTGGAGCACACAAGAGTTGTTTCACAAACTTAACACAGAAAGTAAAATTGGCGCTCTTCCATGAGAATATGAAGTTGGAAATTCCCCGTGCTAAAGCAGTTGAACAATTACGGAGGCTAGGTGACAAACTGAAAATGAGTCAAAATCGTTGTTACAAGCATCGTCTGAGACTCTATGGCTTAAGCGTAAAAGCTTCCGTCGGTGGCCTCAACAAATCATGAGTACATCGAATCAGTATTAAATCGATCGTGTTGTCAGCAAGCAACACCTCGGATTGCTTGTTTCAAATGCGATTCTGGTGATGGAATTAAGCTTGCGTACCGTAATCCAGGCAGTAAATAAGAAAGCATACTGGAGAGTTTCGATGTGGCTCTCTCCCATCCCTATACTCCACGACCGACGGTTCCGTCCTCGTTTAAACTCAACAGGTACGGACTAGCCGAGCCGGGAGTGGAACTCGGCGCATAGTGTTTGGCGGCTGTCGCCATGATCACTATGCCATTGAACTCCGCGAGCAGTGTTTGACACAGCTTATTAGTTGGTTGAGAAAATGATTTGGGCCAACAGCGTATGGCCGTGGTGTCAAGTCATCTCCGGAACACAAGGCAGTCATGTGACGTGTCGGAGCAGAACTATATTTCTAATTCCGGCCGTCGACTTACCTGTTGTTCCTGGCCCCGACTAACAAATACCGGTTTAGTTTCACACTACTTGTACTGATTCGGTAGTTGGTGCCGCAACACGCTGAGATTGACAGCTTCAGCGGAAGATCAGAGAAAGGGAAGGATCCAATATCATGAATACAACGGGCGCTTCAAGTGAATCGACAAAGATTATCAGATAAGGATGTGGGAGCGTATGTGTGTGTCGATGAGTATCATGGGTTCGAGTCAGAACATGGTCACACCACTTAAAAAGCACCGACGATTGCCAGCAAGTGTCCACGTCCCTATCGCTTATTGATCTGTGCGCAGGTGATTACCAAATGATTCCATAACTCGGAGATGGGTATGGGCCATGCGCAGAAAGTGCACACACACACACACACACACACACACAGAGAGAGAGAGAGAGAGAGAGAGAGAAATAACACGACTCACTTGATATCCACCGAGAAGCACACGCAATTTCTTTTCCACTTTTGCCGCACGCTTCGCCTCTTCAGCCATCAGATGACGCAGTTGATCCAACTGTTTTTCATACGATTCTATGCGATCACGCTTAGAGACCAGGTTGGCACGTGTGTAACGCCGGTGCGCAGGTAGATAGAGCACCTGGGACAAACATTCGTGCCATACCTTGGCGTAAGCTTCAGCCGACAAATCACCGTGATTCATGCCAGTACGTACAACAGCCATTTCACTGTTAAGCAGTTGTTCAGCCTGTACACAGAAATAGGGGCGAAGAATGTGGCATGGTTAAATATTGATTGCCAGCATATCACGGAGAGAGCGGTTAAAAGATGATAGCAAGACTTGATGGATAATGGTGAGCCGTTTCAGCGATAAGAAGGATGGCACAACACATCTATGTTAATGATTGTTTATACTGTACATATAAGTACATAAATAAAAAAGTATATTCCTCGACGGTGCGGGCACACTGCAACTGTGGGAGATCGTATAAACAGGTAATAGTTCGAGTTTTATACAATGGAGCCCAAACGGATGTTTGGAGTGAATGTATTCGAGAAACTGGGAACAGTAACAAATGCATGTCTAGCCAAATTTTCAAGTAGTAATAACATTTTTGAGAAGATTCGTTGCAGTTAGACTCAGCCAGACAGCCACACGTCCAGGAAAGCGTTAGATTCCGTTTCGTCTTATTGGGACTCGTCAGTACTGCGCACCCGCCGAATTCTGCCGGATTTGTACCCACGACCTTATTCTTACGAAGCAGCGACCTATGCCATTGAGGCAATAAGATGGAACGGTCATTTAGCGCCTTGCTGGACGTGTAGTAGCTGTCTGGTTGAGTCTAGCTGCGACGAATCTTCGCAAAAGTACAATAAATCTCCCAACTACTCACTAATAAAGTAATAACGTGATGATGTAGAAAGTAAAAAACAGAGTGTTCCAGGTGAAAAAGAAGACAAACTAAAACAAAAGCATCGGTGATAGCTAGTGGATTAAGTGAGGATCATAGAAACATAATGGGTAAGAGTCACAACAGGAATTCAGTGGTCAGCGCGCAGGGGGAGAGACCAAGTCTACAAGACAGTGGGAGAGGCTGCAACCAGGCGCCTGATGACTAGATCGGATGCTTCCAGGTGTACCACTAAAGGCGACACAATAGTGGCTTAGGTTGGGGAGCGTATGTTGTTCTGAAGGAACAGTTTAAGCAGCGGCACCATAACCAATACCAATGGCAAACGTCTTGCGATATGGACGTTGGCCAAATGGGCGTGATCATGATAAAAGACAAGCAATATTACACCCGCGGACATGGCAAGCCTCACAGAAGATAAACTGGACGACTTACTGCCTTCAGGTTTTCTGGATCGAACTCCTCATAAGGGTTTTCCTTTAGATACGATTCGTGCCCCGATTTGATCTGTTGCAGGAACCGCTTTTGTTGGATGGTAGATGTCCCTCCACCAGCGGAGGTTTTGCTCGCCGCTTCGGCTAGCAAATTTGGCGGAGGATCATGAAGATTGTCGAAATGCATCATGGTGACCATCTCCAGCTTGATCATCTCTTCTGCCTGCCGTCGCACAAGAAAAAAATGTGATTCATCAAGTGATCCAAGTGACCAGCAAAAGCACTACCAGACAAGTCGAGAATACCCACCGTCCAAGATAGCCTGCAGCGATAGCCTTGCAAAGTAGCTAATCTCAAAATGGAAGTCAGTGTATGGTATACTACTAAGGAGTAGTAGTTATGAAAACGAGCAGGCATGAGGAAATCAGAGAAATAATGGATCCCAGGGGACAAAGGAGGCATAATGCACAAATCAACTATCACTGATAAACTGTGTATGAAAATGCGCAGCGGAACGGAGGGTCAGAATAAAAAAAGTACGCAAATGGACCCGGTTTACTATGCTCTCTTAGGCGTTGGTTGTCTAGTACACAACTCGTCTGCAGCCCGTTGCATCCTCAACAAGTGGACTAAAAAGATTGCCAAATACCAGAATAAATTTGTAACGCTCAAAAGGGCGTGAAATGCAAGGGAATATCAATCGTGGAGTTCTTGTTTAAGGAAGGATATGGCTGCGCTATCGAGTCTAAAAGAGAATAGTAAGATTACGTGGTAATAAACCGCGAGCATTTAGATAACTCGAGGAGATACCACCCAATGGGAACTCAAGAAAATGAGGTCAAATAAAGTGGCTGGACCGCGTGCTCTAAGATCACGAAATTTGAAGGATTGTGTAGAGCCCTTCGATAAGGCCGGCGTTAATGTATGAATCAGAGACCTAGCCAGTCCGCGGCGAAGACATTAAACGCTTGGCCGTGTTTGACCACCACTACTTACGAAGTATTGCTCACGTTTGGTGGGAACACCAAGTGAACAATGCTTCTAGTTGGTTTATGGCAGGAAGCGTTCTGGTTCCTCGCGCGATTGTTTGCCAAATCTCAGTCGCATGCGTTGGCTGGGTCATATTCTCCGTATGCCCGTTGACCGGCTCCCTTGGCAAAACCCCGAGGTGGCCAGTGCATAAGATGGCATCGTAGCATGAAGAAATTGACTGGGACTTGGTCAGGCTGGTGTGTGCCGTCTTCATGGATGGGGGTCTCGGAACGGTCAGCACCAATGGTTGGAAACCGTGTCAGATATGGCGCAGTCACGCAGTCAGTGGTGCTTCTGAATTCGGTTTCTATCATCTGGCTGTTAATTTTCGGTCCATTCTGATTAGGCTAACGCTTTTCCTTCTTGCTTCTGTTTACTCAACATGTTATTCGCGCCTAAACACACTGTCCTACCAGTGTTATTCGTACGGTGTGAGTCGTGACGACTGGATCCACTGCACTTCAGTGCTCGGATCATGTTTGTTGTTCAACTGAACTGCCGAGCCCTTCGTATTATCTTTAACATATATTTTCTACAGGCGTCCCATCATCACTCTTGCTCCGATAGTTAGAAGCTAGCTAGCTGAAACTCCAAAACGCATCACTAGATTCTATGCAAGAAAAAGGCGTACCAGTAGCACGCTGCATCGACGCTTCGCCATCACGCGACAACCATCAATTGGGTGCAGCCTAAGGATACCGCGAAGGCGCCCGTGCATACGCAAACTGGAACCGGTGAGCTGTGGATAGACGCCCTATACCAATCGGTCTGATTGCATGTGCATCTGCGCTGTCAAAAGCTGATTGTCGAACGAATATTCACGACCGATCTTGGTCAAAGTGTCTCTAAGCAGTTAGCCTATAAATTTCAGCGCGTTCCACACTGTTTGCCGCATATGATACTGTGCAATGTATTGAATAGCATCCAAACAGGATACAAATAAACACTTGTACGATTCCTTTGATTTATCTATCCAAATGTTTTAGAAATCCTTGACAGATCAATGACATTTAGCCTGCCGTGTGAGAAATGGCTTCACTCAAATACATGCCCTCGCTCCAGACAGTTAAACGGTAAAATATGTATGATCTATATGGACAGTGTTGCTTTTCCTCTTTTGCCTCTACCTCCCATTTTTCTACTTTCCTTATTAATCAAATGACTCTTTATAGGACCAGCCCCTAGTCTTAAGGATCGTAGGCCTGCCTTGCAATCTGAGGGCACGGGTTCGAGCCTGCGTAGGGGACCGGGCGACCCTCGCAGCATACTTAGCCCACGTGCGACTGGTAGTGGTTGCGAGGCAACGAAGCGTCGGTACTGTGTATTACTGGTGCTTTTGTAAACGACCAGATTTATCACGTGTAAGCATGTTTGTGACAGATTCCCCTGTTGACAGGTTCGCGAATATTCAACTTATATTATATACGTTGTCAAAAGATAGCTATTTGATACGTTACATTTTAGTTCCATCTGTTTGCCATGACAAACTATGGGTAAGTGCAAATACCCCTTCGCTGATTGTGACCGACTTCAGCCATTATCAAGCAACTCGATGTCTTTCGGGGCTAAAAACTACCTTGACCCAAACAAGCGTGCGAAACGCTACGTAAAACCGTAAGATGGCAAAAGTTTCATCTTTGTGACACCGGTCATACTGCTCTGCGGTCACCCTCCAGGTGCTTTTCTAAGGAGACACATTTTGGCTATGCGATTGACAATCACATTTCGTGACAGAATTGATTATCGAGAAGTTTGCCTGCAGATTGAAGGACAAATAATCATTGTGGCGCATCAATCAAGGTTTATTCTACTCCCAAATGATCGTATTCCTTCCACACACACACCCCGGTCTAATAAAGTTTCTCCTGCGCAAAGTCTAAGTTTTCGCATTTCGTCATCTTTACCTGTCGCCTGAGTGACAGCTGTGCGCATTTCCCACCTTACTCTTCGTTTTGTGTTTTATACCTTGATTGATAGTTTGTTTTTGTACATACGCAGTGGCGACATAAGTGTTGTAAGTGCGCTCATTCAAGAATGATGTGTTCTGGCATGGACCCATTTGGTTAGCTATCACTGCAAACATTATTTGCGGATACATTTGTTAAGTATAGCTGCACGCAGCCTATGATTCCAGCAACACGGGTATGTTCCCATACGTTCAGTAGTTGACGCTAGCGCTAAAGTCTAGGCAAAAACGGGATAGCGGTTATACAAATAATGCTCGAACGAAGCCAACGACTGCTCTAGTACTGGTTCCCGTATGTATCTGTAAGGAATTGGGATCGGCTGTGGTCCACACGTATCCCGACCACTCAGTGGCTTTCAGCCGGGCCCGTACCCCGGTTCCGTTGCAACAAACCTAGAGGTTAACGTGTTGCGACGGTCTGCGTACCTCGTCGAACCATTGAGTTATATTGGGCGGTGCACCCGGGCCCCTTGGAGCTACTCCTACTAGCTTGGGTAATGGTTAGAAGTCAGACAAACTCAGTCTCCTGGTTCTCCAAGTTTGGTGTTTGAAATGCGATTGTGTCCACTTCTGTAAAACCAAATCATTGCCACCTCCCCGCTGCCTTTTGGACAGGCTTTTAAGCCAAAGCCTTTGATTAAAGACCCTAATCGTCCTCCTGTCTAGGTCGGAGAGCTCTGGCAGTATTTCAGCCCATGTAAAACTATGAATATTTCTGCAAAGTTCAACCACAACCTTGATCGGCCATCGCGCAGGATATCAAGGGTCGCCTTATCTGCTTCATACAGCAGGGCGGATAAGCGAAAACATGCTACTGCTGGTGTCTCCCTTCTTTCTGTTCCACCTGTTTCTCACACTCCTCTCCCAGCTCCCATTACTAACCTACTTTCTATAGTTCCCCGCTTAATTGACAGCAATCGCAATGTCATGGCAACCGAAGTTAACTTCCCACACCACCCACTGGACGCCTGTCGACAACAATAAATTATAAGGCCGGGATGTCGCGTTTCGTTGGCGGCGTCCAACATCCGCACTTTAAGACAAGTCGACAGGCTGCACTCACACGCACGCTGGATACACTGGGCAGACGCGTGTTTCGTATTCGCAATTAGAATCAATGACACTCAAGGGGTTGTTGAATTAACTCCGACCGATTTGTCCTCTCGCTATTGGTTGCAGGTATCCGGAGACGCTGATACGGCAGCCTCTGGTCAGGTTGTGGTGGGTATGTACTCAGCTCCAAGGCTGAGTCATCGTTAGTTGATTGGATACCGGTGAACAGCCGTTTGTGTGCATCCCGTTTGACGACATCAATTAAGGTTGATTCACGAAATAGTACAAGACGCTGTTTGTTTGTGATTTCCGCTTACGCTCCCACCGACTGCAGTTCTGACGCTGCCAAGGACGCATTCTACCACGAACTAAACATACTACTACGTAATGCTACTAGTTTAGATACCACAATATTTGCAGGAGATACGAATGCACAAGTAGGTCGAGTGGGCTCTTCAGAAGCTCAGCTGAGTGATAATTATGGCCTTAACTCCGATAGTACGGACAAAAACGAGCGGCTTTTGCAACTGTGTGCGGAGCATCAGCTGTTTCTTAGTAGCATTGCTTTCAGACACAGTCGACGCCGAAGTGCCACTTGGCGTCCTGTAGCTGACTAGCCATGGACCCAAATAGATCACATTGATATAAGTTACTTCGCGGCACAGTAGCTGAAGTGTATCCAGCCTCTAGCTAACGTGTATAATGGTGATGATTATGCTACGAGTTACAGGTGGCGTAGTTCCATCCTAGATTGCCGCTCGTTCTGGACTATTTGCGTCTACTCTGATCACGCTTTGGTGCGCAATCACTTCTCCGTAAACTTTACCGGGAGGCGCACCAAGCGTCCTCTCCGATTGACAACTGAGAAATTACATCAGCCCTCGCTCAAGCAAGCCTACCAAGCTGCACTACGTACCGAACTTTCGCTACCTTGCTCTAATGATATTGAGCTTCAGTGGAATAGGATCCCGGTACCCATGCACGACGCAGGAGCATCTGCTTGTGGCACTATCAATCGCCACCGCACCAGTCACTGGATGTCCGAGAGGTCGGTGAACCTGCTGGAATCCATAAGAAACCTCCCGGCTGGCTCTGAGCACAATGTGATCAGACGGACTATAAGGTGCGAACTAAAACGGAGGCTACGCGTTGACAAGGAAAATTGGTAGATCAGTAGAGCTCAAGAAATGGAGGAGGCAAGAGCAGTAGGGAACTATCGCAAACTCTTCAAACTGATCGGCACCACTGGTCCCAGGAAACCAGGCGGTACTGAGACAATCAGAGACAGCGATGGTGCCCTGATTCACAATAAGGAACGTAGTATGGGTCGTTGGACGGAGTACTTTCATAAGCAGTTCGGTTGTTCCGCCGCTCCTGAACCTTTTCCTACTTAATTGTTGACGACTGAGACATGGCCAGTTAGTTTAGAGACTCCCACCGAGGCTGATGTCCAAAACGCGAACGCAACCCTGAATCGATGTCGTGCGGCTGGCCCGGATTCATTCGTATCTGTAATATAGCGGGTGTTTTCCAACAACAAGTGGTGTTGGTCAGGGTTGTCCAACGTCCCCTTTTTTGTTTAGCTTCATCGCGGACTCCATCATGGAGTGTTCCCTTGCGGATTCTTACGATGTAGGCGTCGAGGTCCCGCGTGGTGAAAAGCTAATGGATCTTGATTATGCGGACGATATCGTTTTGCTGTTTAACGATGTCAAGGTGGCGCAATCAATCCCGAATAGCTTGTCTATGGTGGTCCCATTGTTTAGCATGCGCTTCGCAACTTCAGAGTGCAAAGTGTTGCTGCAGGACCACCAACCACTTGATGATCCATTGACCTTAGATAGCGAGGAACTCGAGGTAGTTGATCACTTCACTTACCTTGGCAGCTGTATCAGCAACGATGGGCGCATAGCTACTAAAATCGCTTCAAGCACTGCAAAAACTAAAACTGCATTCTTGAACCTGCGGCATCTTTGGCGACAGAAGGGAGTTTCCCTTCGTCTGAAAGGCGGTATTTACAAGCCCACAGTGAGGTCGGTCCTACTCTAAGGGGGTGAGACTTCGCCCCATCGGTTTGAAGATGTGAGACGCATTCAAGTCTTTGATCATCGCTGTCTGCGGAGCAATGCTGGTATGGGGTGGCACCAGCGTGTCCGCAACAATGATGTGCGAAGGCCAGTGCTAGGCAATGATACTTAGAACAGATAAAACTGAATTATTTGCGTTTGCTTGCGCACGTACTACGTATGCCTGATCACTGCTTACCGAGGACGGCCTTGTTTTGATTGCCAGATGGTGCAAATCTCGAGATGGACAAAAGTTGACTTGGCAGCGGGAAATGAAGTCACTGACGACCAAACTTGGTGCCGTCGGTCCGTCTCGCCTTTCACGCTGGAGTCCACGTGACCCGCCTTGTGCTTTGCTTGAGACTTTACGGAACATGGCTCGCAGGCGGTACCAGTGGCGCGTCTGCTGACGTCTCCTAGTCGGACTGCCTGTTTAACGTGTGTCTGGTGCTGAGCTATCTGCGGGGTAATTGCTGATTACAACGCGGGGCAGTGAAAGCCGCAAGGAAGCTGTCGCGCCTATGACGCCTCTTCTTCGCACAATAGCCAGTTGTTTGTGATGGCATGTTGTTAACAAGGTGTAGGCGCCTTGACCCTGTATCTTTGCTTAGGACATTAAGGTTTTCCAGCAAGTCCCTCTTCTCTATCTCATTATTCTTCGTTCCGTAGATCGTTATGGTTGTATGGAAGCGAGGCATCAGTTCAAATGGCTGATGTACTGCTGATGATGATGATGAGTGGACGATGAAGAGGGCAACTACCCAACAATTTGCCAACAAAGGAGAGGTACCGCGGCAAGAAGTTGAAATCCAAGTTTAAGCACGACCCAGGGAGAGAAGAAGGATCTTCAGCGAGAGCGTGTTGTCAAGGCCAAAGGCAAATTTAGGCTTCGGACCGTCGGGTAGACAACATCACTCACTCAGTAACGTAATGCATGAATGAATCATGGACGAAGTGTCGGTAGGAACGCGTGAGCTGTCACATAGCAACGGTGCCTACTGACGGTGTGTGAGAAAAGTCCAGATGTAGCGCTACGCGGCTAGTGTGGTGATCGAGGTAAGCTCTACTCGCTCTCTGCGTGCGTCTCATGCATAGCATACAATCCTATTGCATATGATGTCAAAAGAAGGGGTTGCGATTACTTGGAATTAATGCCAAGGCAACCAGGTGATCAGTTAGAACTACGATGCCAAGAAATTGTTAGGAGGGGCATGTAACGGACGGATCAGTGAACACAAAAAGGATCAAAGTCCACCCATTTTCCAGAAATCGAGCAAAATAGTCGCATTGGTTAGTCAATGAAATGTTCTCGCAAACGCTAATACTATTATTGGTTAGTAAAAAAAGGGAATAGAACAGAGAACGTTCAGGCAGGTCACTATTAACAAATAAATATCGGTACTCTGCGCCCTATAATCATCACGTGTCTGGCGGTCATTACACTGTCTACGATCTCGCATTTTTGATCGGCCAATTGGTATGTGGACAGGCTTTCAGAAATCAATCAAGATCTGAGTAGAGGCGTGTTTAATAGGAGAGCACACATTCCAGGCATTAGCTAAGCCAAGAGGGTAGAGAGTTTTCTACATCTACTTCTCTTCAACCAAGTGCCTTCTTTATCGTCTGTGAATTGATTGCTCTTCGCCTGGCGGAACTTATGTGCTGCTTGAAAGTATTATTTCGCACTGGATGCACGAATTAGGGTGAACAGATATAGAACAGAATAGTGATGAGAAAGTTAACGCTGTGGAACAAATCACGACATAAACGCCGGCTATTAACTATGTCTACAAGTGTATCCAATCAAGCGTGTTCATCGTCTTCGAGGCCACAGCCCGGCAGTCGATGGACACCAACCGACGCCAAGTTCGAAGTAGGAGTATTTATTCATCTCGGCCTATCCTCCTCTTCTGCCATTCAGGCCCGTCGCGCAAACGACGCACAACGCGGGAGTCTGTGTGCTGGTATGTGCAACAAGTGGTGCGTAATTTAGAAACCTGCGGGACTACATATACTTTCCTTGAACAGATAGAGCTGTTGCTGGTGTTGCACAAGGAAGGTACCGAACAACTGCATATTCCTTAGATCCCGCCCGATATGGCTCAATGTTCACTCGTTGATCGGTTCTCCGAGCTTGGTAAAGTTATTGCATACGCTTCACCACCATGCGAGGTGACATCGTCAATGCGGCTATGTGCAGTGTACAATCCTGCTTGTTGAATCGTCAGTTCGCGATGGACAAGCAAGTGACTTTTAAAAGTGGCAATTTCGATTTACGCCTATTGATCTTTGCCATTCTCATCCGCGGCTGAACCATGTCTTTCTATATGCCAGAGATCTTCCTTTCTGAGCTGATTGTACACGGAATCAATGTCGATGCGCATGCTGATGGAATTATTAGAGGAGCACCATACTTCTAGGAATTCTCTTCCTTTCTGTGTCGCTGCTTGGACTAAAATCTGCGTTTTGTGCCAATTAAAGCTAGGTCCCTCCGCAACCACATGCGTTGAGACAAGATAGAATGCATAGATTATTTTTTACAAACGCTTGGAGGTCCTTGTATCCTTGTAGATAGTTTCCTTCTGTCTGTCCCATACAGCTCATTTCGCAATTATTGCAATTTATTTTTTTACACGATGTTTGTTCTTTTTTGTGCTTTCCGGTTGTCCTTTGGGTTTCACAGCAGGCTTCTCAAAGTAGTGGTATGCAATCATTTTATCAAGCTCGGAGAACCGATCAACAGGTGAGCAACCAACCCGGGCTACCAGTGTTCCAAATTATTTCGAATGGCTCAATGTGTTCAGTCGGAAAACCCATTGTGACATCGCGGACAGTAAAATAGTAGCAAGTGGTGTAACATCTACTCACGAAGATCGAGCCCCAATTCCTGTTAATGCTTCCGTGGAATTAGCCCGGCCCACGCCATCCGACCACTTAATGTCGCATGGCATAGTGGCATCAGTGTCCAAGGCATTGACCAACTGCCGATACCGTCGGACATCGAAGAGGCAAGCGGATCAGAATACACTGCTAGGTGATCAAACAAGAACAGTGCAATCAAGGCTGCTACAATGATGTAGCAAGTGTTGTAATTCCCTCCGCGTGGAGACGAAAGGGGCTAAAAGCACACAACCCACCCTTTGCAAGTCCGTCATTGATGATTCCTGCTGTGGAGTTTGTGATGCCGGAAAAGTACGTAGCACTGTATGGTTGATATCCGATGGTCGTGGGAGAGAACGGCGCACCACTTGACTACGTTTGGACCAGGCGGCTTCAGCGGCGGCAGCGCGTTCCTTCTCTCGCAGTCGGTCCAAATCCGCCTGATCAGCAACCCGAGCGGCAGTTCCGCCAAGCTCCAAACTTACTTGATCTTCGTCCATATCAACACTAGTCTGCTGGCCACCTGACTCCGATTCATCGGGGACGAAAATTTCAAAATTGTTTTTGGGAAGCGGGAGACTGGCTAGGCTTTTACGAAGATTGGTCTTTGCAATCAAGTTGTTGGCCGACTTCGCAGAGATCAAGTCATCTGCATCCAGATTATTGATCTCCCCAGCGTTTATATTTAGGCGATCGCGTAACGGAGTGGGCTGACCAGGTCCACTGCGGCCAGTTACATTGTCTAACTGTGGAGTGCCATTCAGAATTGGTGTACCTGTAGAGGAAACAAAGCAAAGCTGCATTAATGAAATTTAACAAACGGTAGTAAAAAGTGTGAGTATCCAAAGGTCTGCAAGAGGACGAGAAGCTTTGATATTCATTAGTGCAGATTATGAAAACGCAACGAAAGATAACCTCAGGAAAATCCACAACACGCAATATTGTCCGTTAATTGACAAATAATCATATGTGAGTTGGCTAAAAATCGAATAATTCAAAGGCAGAGTGTCATCAAACTGATAGACTGAACACTATACTCAAACTGTCGGAAGCACATTAAATTAATGACAATCTAAACTGCGACAGGTGAACATTCTGATTAGTCTTGTCAGCCACAGATGCAATACGTTCATGAAAATATACGCTAATATATGTACTGAGTAACTAATAAAACAGACGAATAGTGATTAGTACACAGGCAGCTAGGAGGAATAATAACCGATTGCTTCAGATGCTTCTGTGCATGATTTCAGCAGTAAGCTGGCGCATCGCACACACTCCATTCCAGCTTTCCAAATGCGGTAGCTGCCTTCCTCATACGGATGCGCAGTTCGCTAATCATCTGGAGATCAGTTGAGTGCACTCCAAAAATGGTAACATTTGGAGGTGGTTTCTAAAACGCCGGTACCGAACTGGATTTGTAACAAGCGCACGGATTCCATGTCTGCTGAAAGCTGAAAAAGGTAGTCTTGTTTGTAAAGCGCAACTATAAGATGAAGTTCGGCAGATGCATGCATCCGTGCCGATAGCGATAACCGGTAATTTTATGCAACAGTTTGTAGACACATACGAACAAACGAGAGAAAAAGCGGGTCTCTTTCTTCTACAACCAGGACAGCCTGAGGCTGACCGATAATTGCTTTTGCACACAAAGCACTGACTTAGTCCGATTAATGGCAATAGCCTTGACAAACCGGAGAAGCCGGGAATTGGTATGGCGAAGCAGGATCCTAAACGCCTTGTTGATCTCAATTCGGTGACCCGATGTCAATAAGTGTCTGCCAATCGAAGATGCCGGCGGCCTGCGCACACACGTAGTTTGACTTGGGCTTGCTTGCTGAACAGGCCCGCATTGAACGCATTTTGGTACATGCTTCATTATTCGGGAACTCAGTGTTTTATTGGTTCGGCCTATGTAACTATCTCCGCAGTTACATATGAATTGATATATGCAGTAGGAGTTGGCGCCAATAGGCTGAGTTTCCTTCAGTGGAGGCAAAGGTAGCTTATATGTTCGATCAATGATTACAATTTCGGCAGCACAGAAAGTGCTCTATGTGGCGGAAATCAGACGTCTTGTAGTCGTCAAAAAAGCAATGGCACCCTTAAGGGGCAGCTCTAATACCTTTTTCTTAGGTACAGTTAGGTACAGCAACTTTCATTTCACGGGTTCGGCTGTGCTTCTGGATAAATTTTCGAAGGTAGCCATTAGCAATTAACGTGTTGGTAATTAGTTCTAGTTCAGCGGCTAGACAATTGGTTGAACATATTTGTCTGATGCGACTAAAGAGGGTCTTCACAAGCGTTCGCTTGTGCCGCATTGGCGTAAAGCTGCTAAAATGCTGATACTGTCCCGACCACGTTGGTTTTCGGTGGACAGACCTTTGAACCAGTCCGTTCTCCCTACGGCTGATGAGAATATCTAAATATGGAAAACAGTTCTGTTGTTCGACTGCGCAGGAAACCCTCAAATTGACATGCGATAAGTTAAAACGCGTCCCTAGCTGTGCGATCTGCATTTCTGTTGAACAGAACACCAAGATATCGTCCACGTAACGCTTGTAATAGGGCAACCGCTATTTCTTCGAATAGACTTCGTTCTATCATCAGCATGAAGAAATCCGCTAGTATGGGACCCAGTGGGCTGCCCATGGATACCCCATCAATTTGGCGATACGATATGTTTCGGAAGTGGAAAGTGACATACTCTGTGCATAGAAGTAATGATTCTCTTAAGAATTTAACCGGAATCGGTAACGAACACCCGGAACTTTCTGCTAATTCGTTGATGTATTCAACGGTCTGGTGTAGCGGCACGTCAGTAAACAAGGATTCCACATCTAAAGAACACATCACCTTATCAGACAAGTTCATTTTATCGAGATCTTCGACAAACGCGAAGTAATCTTTGAGGCCATATAGAGTAAACTGAGCTTTCAGCGGAGAAAACACATTAAGCAACCAACGAGCTAATTTATGTTAGGGTGCATTCGTCATCGAGAAGATTGGTCTGAGCGGCACTCCGCTCTTGTGCGTTTTCGGAAGCCCATATAGTTGTGGCATAGTGGATCCACGGTTTAAACTGTAGCGCTGTCGAGCACGTGATACTGGTGAAACATTTCTAAGTGGCGAATGATTCGGGATTCGAAAGCAGTCACTTCCCCCGCTTTCTCCAATCATTCAAATTCCTTAGTGTCACTGAGTATGACGCTTATTTTCCTGATGTATTCATCTTTGTTCCTGACTACAACGCCTGAGCCTTTATCCGGCTTCATTACAACGACATTCTTATCGCGCAATTCGCGTAACGCTCGTGGGTGTCTGTTCGTAAGCGCGCGCCTCTTTTAGTGGCGCACTTTTTTTACCCCATAGACAACATCGGTCAGTTTGTTTCTGAACCATATAAGCATGTACCAAAATGCGTTCAATGCGGGCCTGTTCAGCAAGCAAGCCCAAGTCAAACTACGTGTGTGCGCAGGCCACCGGCATCTTCGATTGGCAGACACTTATTGACATCGGGTTAGCGAATTGAGATCAACAAGGCGTTTAGAATCTTGCTTCGCCATAGCAATTCCCGGCTTCTCCGGATTGCCGAGGCTATTGCCATTAATCGGACTAAGCCAGTGCTTTTGGTGCAAAAACTATTATCAGTCAGCCTCAGGCTGTCCTGGTTGTAGAAGAAAGAGACCCGCTTTTTCTCTCGTTTGTTTGTATGTGTCTGTACCCACAAACTGCTGCATAAAATTACCGGTTATCGCTATCGGCACGGATGAGACGATACGAAATGCATACATCTGCCGCACTTCGTCTTCTAATTGCGTTTTTCAATTTACTAAGGGGAATTAACAGTCTCGTCTGTGTTTATGATGTGCCCGAGCTTAGTGGATGTTGGGGCGAGAGTCGAAGTCATGTGCTGAAACTTATCCGCGCTGTGTGTAAACACCACAGTCGTCGGTAAACAGTAACATACGGGTGGTTGTCTCACACACTAGGGTTTTCGCCCCGAAACGAAGGATGTTCAGCAACCCACCATTAATACTGTGGGGGACACCGTAATCACAAGCATTAAATGCACAGGACATCATAGCATTTAAGTGAATATTAAAAAAGATAGGGGCTATGTTACAGCATTGTTTCACAACAGAGACGACATCAAAGTCATTCGGAGGTTTGCTATATAGCTACATGATCACCCGCACACCACTGTGCAGGCAATCAATTACACTTACAGAATTACTCGGTTAACCAAACTTACCAAACACTAACCACAGTGCCACGCGGCTCAACGTGTTGAATGCCTTTGATGAAGTCGACAAAGAGCGAGTACAATGACTGATGTTGCTCTCGGCATTTCTCCTGCAATTGATGAGCCACAAACCCCGTAGCTATAGTGCTACCGCCCGAACTCAATCCGCACTGCTCTTCCGCCATGTTTGGTTCAATGACCCGAATGACGAGGCGATTGATCAGGAGCCGTGACACATTGCTTGCTCCCTTTGCCTTTGTACAATGGTAGCACAAGGGCATCCTGCAACTCACATGGAAGCACTTCTTAAAACCACAAGCAATGCATCAAGTGGTGCGGCGCATGGATCAATACAAGTAGACCGTGTTTCACCACTATGGCAGTATTCCATCAGCTCCGGCGCACTTGCCGTTTCGCGGCTCAGCAAGTGCTCTCTGTAACTCATCCAGCCCGTGCAAAGTAGGCCAATCAATCACTGAACTATTGTTCGATAGTATCGAAGTATTTCAGCCAGATCTGCATTACGTCTACAGTCTGCGTGCAGAAAGCGCCTGAAGTAACATCGAAAGGCGTTCTCAGCGGCTGGAAGGTGGGCCTATACACCGAGTTCGAGGAGTCAAAGAATTACTTATATTGGCGGCGCTGGCGTAGTATTGCATCTGTTTCGCCTTCTACGTCCACCATGCATTCTTAATGCGACGGAGCTCTGGAATCAATCGCCGTTCGTGAAACTGCTCTGTCTCAGTCGGTAGGGCTGCCGTATGAGCAGCGAATGCTGCATTCTTCGTCAACAATAATGCGCCAACAGTTAGACTGTTGTAATCAAACCAATCGAATCGCATATAGCTTGCGCACTCTATCGCTTCCTCGGTAGCAACCATCACCTGTTCACGGATATGGTGCCGCAGTTCGCTGACTGAGGTGATAGTGTCAACATCGCCAAGCAGGGTAGCCAGTTCCATCCTCTTCTCAGTAGTACTTAGAGAAGAAACAATAAATTTCTGCCGATACATAGATTTACGGAAATATATGTACAAATTGGTCTGCACCAAATTGTGGTTAGTGCCACACTCAGGTCCACGCAGTACATGTACCATGCGCAATTCACGCATGTCAAGCTGGCATACGATAACACAGTAGAGCAAGTTAAGGTGACCAGTTCGTGGGTAAGTCCAAGAAGTTATATAAATCGCGCCCAATGCAAATCGGGTGTTCGTGATCGTCAGGTCGTGCGTGGCTCACATTGAGAGCAGCTGGACACCGCTCCCATTGCATATTCCAATAAAATACGATGAAGTCTGTGCAAGCCGCGGTAACATGCTAAACGTGGACTGACACACAGAAGTTGTCCTGGCTCTTAGCTAGAAGGGTGTAACCTAATTCCAACCTAGCGGTCGCCGCGAGAAGGCATCAGCAAGAGGCCTGATGACCAACACGACGCAGGACCAGATGCCAAGTGCAGTCATTCAACACAGAGTTGGAATAGTAACGTAGTAGGACTGCACAACTTGCATCCTTATTGTGATGTTAAACCTAACAAAGGCGGCAGTGAGACTGCCGTTCATCAACCGACCATCTCTGACGATGTCGTTTTCTTTCTTGTCGATACACCATTTGTATTCTAGAGTAGTCGTTTTCCATACCAAAACGCCGGATTAAGCATGCAGTAGCAGGGTGGTAGAAACTCAGGTGGATAAGGCGAGTCAAGGATCCTCCGGTATGTGGATTGTAGCGTTGTCTGTGATCAGACACGTATCGTTCCTCTCCACCCAGCAGCATATACACGTCACAAGCTCTTTGACGAACAAAGAAAAATTTGCAACATTCCAGATGTCATTGTGGATGATTTTTTGAGCGAATGACGCCTTGGTTATTTATTGCTACAATCAGCGTCACCACGCGGCCTGACAGTGGGCAAGAGGACATACACCTGCGTTCTCTTCTAGAGCGACTCTGTGTCCGCCGCAGATAAGGTTGAACTCGCTCTCGTCTATGAAGATGCACCTCTCTGCTTTGCGGTGCGTGTACCGAGGTCGAGAGTGTAAGCGTATGGGCGTCGTGGCACTGTTGAGGAGGTCTAGCTCGTAGTGGCACTTCTAGAGCGTGATCTATAGCCTTCTGAGGGCGGTGAAGACCGTAGATACGAAAAGGCGGGTATAGTTCTCCTTCAGCTGCTGCGATATCTGCACCAAAGTGCCTTCCGAAGGTTGCTCAACGGTCTCTTTGATGCGCTGCAGGACATCGGGAGTCAACTACTCTATGTTGTTTCCTGCACAGTTGCGCTGAGAATGGTACCTACTCAACTGCAGACATTGCTGTGCTTTCGTGGAAATCTGCGAATTCAGCAGCTTCGTGAGTGGTTCTATCGTCGACGAACACAAACTTGGTAAGGATCACTTCCTGCGTCATTGACGTTCACTTGCACTATCGCTGCTTCGGAGACACGTCTTTCTGCCATCCGTCGCTCATTTCGGGTCGGCTCCTGCAGTAGTAGGCTAATAAGCTAGGCAAGGTTATGTGGAGCCATAACAGCCTACACTGTTCCAATAGTCGTGCAATTGACCAGGTTTACACACACACACACACACACAGAGAGAGAGAGAGAGAGAGAGGGAGAGAGAATACAAGATAGCCGATAGAAAGGCAGGGGAAAACTGGGCCACCGGTTTGAACGAGATGAATAACGCTCATGCGTAAGAGAAGGGCCTGGGCTAGCGTCCGCTGCTTACACAATCCGGGTTACATTATCCTGATCATAATGTTAGTCAAAACGCACACTTTTTCGGCCAACGGGTCACGGGCGGACATCACTCTATTCATTTTCTTCAGTAGTTACGGTCCCAATGATGGAATCGACCTAGTTTCACTTCAATGTTAATCGGGATCCATAATGAGATTGCGCATCGCAATGCGTCCACATAACGAGTACTTCAAAACGACTTTCCAATCCGCCATTCACAGTTGTAAAAGGCGTTGCCCGTCGTGACCCGGTGGCTAAAGGGATAGAAATTCCAACTAACATCTCAATGGTCCCAAGTTTGAGACCTGCTATCTCCATCGAAACGTGTCGTCGTGTGCAGTGTTTTCGGGCGAGCAACAGCTAATTCCCAACTGCTTCAGCTACGGTCCCAATGATGAAATAACCAAAGTCCACTGCGATGTGAATCGTGGTCCAATTGGGGATTACGCATCGTAATCCACCCACGTGTGCTACAAAATTCGACCCATCGATCAATTAGATGAGGTTTTAGGTTGCGAGACCGAACAGAACTAATCACAATGGTCCATTTAGAAACACGAAAACAGGCCAACGTAAGTGATGCTAATTGGTGTACAAATGACGGGTTGAATAAATTCCCAACGTATCAGAAGAACAAAACACTGGGATATCGGACGCACTCGTGGAGGAAAGAAAGAAAGCGGGAAAAACAGGTATGCATAAACATGGGGATCACTCACCACCTGCCAGCGATCCTGGAGTGCGGAATGGAGTCAGTCCCAGCTGATTTGGCAGCAACGTGTTGGGAGTGACCATGACATTGGCGGTACTCGGGGTAACCCCGCTGAAATCGGACTCGCCAATAAGTTGGACGTTCTCTCCGCCTTTCAGTGGAGTCTGCACTTGCTGTAGAGCAAGAATGTTGTGTGCCTCCTAAAATGTGGTAGAAGGAAGAGAGAACATCAAAGCACGAAAAGCTGTGAAAGCAGGAAATGCGGTGAGAAGATTGAGATGAAATAGCATGAAGCAGAATAACCCCCAATGCAACCGAGTCGGTAGGAAACTATGAACAGAAACGTACACGGGAGATAGAATCAATGGCGGAGGCAGGCGTTCGTTGTGCTGCTATCAGAGCAGGTGTTGCGAATACTCCTGAACTGGGACAATCCGGAAGAAGTGGGTGGGTTGCGGAACCAGCGTCGTATCCGGAATCTTCTATGGCCATACGAACGGCATTTTCACCCGCTTGTCCGACCTGTAATGGTGCGCAACAAGATGGATTGTATCAGTGGCATGAATCTACTAATTTACCCTCAGTTCAATAAGAAATTGATGAACGGAAACAAATGAGAAGCAGTGGTGAAAACAGTTGCGTTCATGACTGTGGTAAACGGCGATTGTAGAGGAAGCAGTAGAAAAGTGGCGCTTCTCTATGTGCGACGTGTGGTAACAACGGTGATCATCTCAACAATGCTTGATCTCATCTTGCCAAATGAAGGTACAAGGCAAAAAGGTGAGAAGGGGGTCGGCAAAAGAAGTAGCAAGCTGGTTGGTAGGGACAAACATAATGAAAGGTGCCAGCTCAATGGAAAGACCAATTCCATGCACGGCCTGAGATCCACAGTGCTCACAAAAATAGCCGTTTTAAGAAAGAAAGAAAACGAAGGGGAGAGACAAGGATCGACATTTCGCGCTAGTGATGCAATCCTGCAGGAAAGAATTATTCACTTGTGCGTCACCTTCATAAAACCATCATCAACTGGGCCATTTTACCTACTGTTCTCTAGATACACAAAAAATCCTAGTATGGAACAAGTAGTGCCATCGGAGGGTGGTGGGTGACTTATTCCACTGGTACATTAAGTTTAAACTTAGACAAGAAAATGCAAAAGTACGGGACTGTCGAAAGCTGTCGGAAGATTCCAGCGCACGTAGTCACAGAAAGGAGTGGTACTCGATTTGGAGACGAGTTGCCGTAAAACATCACATAAGAGTGCGAAGGACCACTAATTGTTACAAAATGTTTGGTGGGCGGTATGACACGGATATGTCAACTGGCGCCCATGCGACACTCGAGTAAGCCACGACTGCAATAGTGCATCTGCAAACAGCGGCCAATGTGAACTTGATCACAAACAAGTGTGAACGATGTTTTTGGGCAACAACAGTGTACGTTTCATCGAGATTACGTTGTCAACAAGCACAGGTACCAGCGACTGCATGCGGGATACGACACTGCGAAGTAACTCGCATCTATTCACATTCAAACCAGCGACCCGTGGATTACCAGTCAAATGCCTGATCAATCAATACCCTCAGCATGCAATGGTTAGGTTTTTGATCCGCACGACAATTGCGGTGTCACACTTGATACTTTCAGATGACAAAATGGATAAGGTGCAGGGGCAGTGAAAACGACTAGGGAGCCCACCCAACAAGTCCACCCTCCCTTCGCACGGGAGTTATCCGTTTATGGCTGTCTTGCTGACAAGGTGTGTGGGCACATTGCTAGTGAGTGTCTTTTTAAGGCATTTGTAAATAAATTTTATTAGCGAATGCATCGAGGCCCGCCAAATAAGGCATTACATGGACCCTACTTCTGCCCTTTCTACTGATGCTAAATACTAAAGTCATGATAAAAATGAAATAAGGTTTCAACTTGCTGATATATTGATACTGGTGATATCGAATGAGATGTAAAAGCCCACGGAAATTGCACTGATGTGCACATCATCATCAACAACAGGACATAAAGCATTTGAACTGATGCACCGTTGCCGTACAGTCACAATGACCTACGGAACGAAGAGTAAGAAGAAAAAGAGAAGCGGGATCTAGTGCAAAACCTAAATGTCCTGATGTGCACAAACATCTTTCCGATGAGATAAAGCGATGCAGTTACCTAGTAACATGAATCGATCGACCAAGAAGGATAGCTATCTGCTGAAAATGCGAAGCGGTCGTATATCGACCCAATACAGCAACATAACTCGAACTTTGAATGTGCAGAGCGCATGAAAAAGTGTGCGTCACTCCGTATCAGCTTATTCAACAGCTCGCTAAATAACTAGATCCCGTCCGTGTTTACAAAGTCACCCATCGGTTGCCCAGTAGAACCACGGCGGAGGAAGAATCTACTCACACATAATCTTCAACGTACATTTCCACCGCAACTGTGGACATAAATTGGAAAGTAGTGTAGCCTCGATTAGCCCCTTCGTGGTTATGAAAAGCAATCTCCCATGTAGGGAATTTCTAAACTACACCATTAGAACAGGCACAGCGAATTAAGTCAAATGAACGGAAGGCTCTGTATATAAGGAACAACTATGCGGACAGACCTACCACATATAAATATGAGACCACATGATAAATGCACTAGTTGTAAGGAAGAGAACTTCGATGCGTTTCATATGCTGTCCACTGATCCCATACAGAAGTGAGAATAGCAACTGATGACCACCAGTCTGAAAATACTTCTTATTTGCGACAAACGGTGAGTCGCGAGTACACAGGAAGGGGAGGCAGGACTGAACGCGTAGCTCCGCTCCAACACAGCTGTAGTCCGGTCACATCTCTTCGACAGTGAAAAGCATGATGTTCACGGGTGGACTCAGTTGGTTAACTTACTAACAGTAACAGAGCGGGTCACTCGATTTCAAGTAACTGTGGTGAATCAACTAGAGAATTTCCGGCTATCTCTACGCTCACTGGGACTGTAGGTTGCAAATAGCTCTCGGCCGATTGTTACAATGATAGACTTTATCTGACAAACCATGCAACCCAACAGAACTGGGGTAATCCAGAGAATCTAGGCTAGAAGTCATATCAGGATGTTTAAGGTACCGTGCAATTGATTACCTGACAGCCGAATTCATTGCTGAAATCAAGCTTGTCCACCGAAACAAAACCTGATTGAACTGTCCAAGGTGGGGAACAGCAACAAACAGACCGAGTAAATCAAAAGACCAGTAAAAATCGCACAGGAGCGCGAGGAATCAGCTGATCTCTTCGATAAGATGCTGTGTAGCCAACCAAAAGGGTGACCGGAGACGATCAGATGTCGTACATTTGACCTGCTTTAAATCGATCAAATAATTGTGAATACTGTTGCTCGCTTGGTATCACTGGTTTACTACAGTATAACGAAGTGAAACAGTAACTCAATAGATATTTTGTTTCTCATTCATTCACGCACCGGACATTGCAACTGGCTCGCTATTGCGCGCGTACACCAAGCATCACTCGCGGACCCCGGGCACAAGCTCGTAGTGCCGGATCAGAAAAAGGTAGTTCCCTCGCTATGCTCCGAGCGTCGAGTGGTGAACTATTGAAACAACTTGACCGAGTCAACAGTTGATGCAAAGTTGGTTTAGAAATTCGAGCAAATCCCAGATGCCAACTTTGCGGATTAGAGAATTAGGTAGTGCAACGCACTCGAATAGCGTATAGCACAGGCGCAGAAATCATTGAGGTGATTTCGCGCACGTGCCCCATGCACCTACGATGTATCAACACAGAAGTGTGTCTACCAGCTTTCTACTTTGAGTATTTAGTATTCATAAGCGGAGAAGATAAACGAGAGTATCCCTAGCCACCCAAACATAACCAAGACTGGAAGAGACTCGGTACAGAACTATGTATAGTGAAAAAAAGTTAACGGTTAGCCATCGTAGAGCTCCGCCTAATAGGTCAAGTCAAGAGTAAAGCAAGCGACGGTTCCCGACGAACATCGTGCTAATCTTGCACACGGAGTGTCAATTACTCAGGTGGGCAGAGTTCAATGCAAATAGCGCTTGCAACCTCATTTCTTGGGTACTTTAAATAACTATAGAAAAGCTACTCAGGCACAAACTGAGGTCATGATGTTACAGTCACAAATCACGGGTACCGAAGTTGCCGACCACTACGTAGAAGTGAGGAGAAGTACCTAACCAATCTGCTTCGTGATAAAAGTTCAAGTCTCAATTGATCGCAGTTGCAATCACCCGAAAAACGTACAGCGCTGGCATAATTATGTTGCTGGCCGGTAGATGAGTGAAACTACGACTGCATCCCCGAGGTACTCTACGTCCCAAACGCACTCGCGTGGAAATGGTGGTGCTGCTTGTCAAGGAGAGTAAAATCTCCCAGGAAAGCGGATTAATTCAGTGGAAAAACAAGTCAATAGTGTGCAACCAAAAGTCGTCTCAGGAACGTCCGCTTGAGCAACGTTCAAGTCCATACGACGTGCGCACCTACCTTCCCATTGTCCTGATACCACCAGCGGACGGTCGAGTGTCCAGTTTCCGTCCGATACCGGAGTGAAATCGGCCTGTAAGCAGTCAGAGTTTACCCCGATTTCGGATGGAAATCGGACACGATCGTCCATTGGTGCTTTCAGAGAAACGGATGATTTTAGCTACATTGAAAGTTGTTAATTGTACCCGAAAAACTACTTGCAACATCAATTGCATTACTTTATCGTTATTCTTTTTATTAAAAGATGTAGAGAACATACAATGCAAACCTGCATAAACAAATGTCATAGGGCATTCCAACGTATTCCGCGGGTTATTTAGGCAGCAAATACCTTTAAAAGGAGCAAAAAGATGTTGCAATTACTATGAAAGGTAATAAGGAACCAATGCAAGTGTTTGAGTGAGTGATGTCAATTGATTTGTGAGTGTCGGGTTTCCCTCTGAAATTTGGCCCATCGTAGCTTTTTTCGGACGGAAACCGGACGGTCATCGGATTGAAATCGGACAGTATTCGGTCCCGTCACTCGTGCCAGGCATGGCTAGCGGAATTGATATAACAATCAAGGCAACCGACCTAGCTGTCCTGGTACGTGAAACTTTCATAGTTGACTTATATGTGCCCGTCGATTTCACACCACTTGTGTTCCGTTTCGGTAGCTGGTTCTGCAACACGCTTTTGCCTCCAAGCATTATTTGTTGATTTCCGGCTGGGATTCGGAATTAGCGGAGAACGAGTTCAGTTCAAATCGCATATAAAGAGGCAGATCATAACACCGCTAAATCCTGAGGTTCCGGGTCCATCCTCAGACCAGAAAACGCAAGTAAAAGTTTTGTGATCCTTAGACGCCCAGAACTGGGTGCAAAAAGTACACAGGGGAATAACTTGAAGCCCCAACTAGTACGAAGTACAAAGCAATAATCACGTGCTTTGTGAGCATCTACCAGCTCACGAAAGAGTATGTTCTGGAAATAAATAGGATTTATTTATGAACAACTGGTGAAGCAGCTGGGGAGGTTAGCATTGAGAACAAAAGTGATCCATTCACTAAGCTTGATGAGCAGAAAAGTACTGAACCCCAATTGTTTGGCAAAGGGACAGTGGATAAGATAAAGAACATGGAACTAATCACATGAGAATTACAACGTGGAAGTTTCACACCGCATCTGACCGTTTAGTTGGTTGTCTGCACAACAATTAATGAAGACGATTGGGGGGTTGTTCGAGCAGCTTCCAAATCAGATGGTCCGCATCCATCGACTTCATGGGAGCCGATGCGCACTACTGACGATTCCAGATGGGACAGAATGACCGCATACTGTTTTTCCGGGAACACACAAGACTATCTGATTTAGAGGCCGCTGCGAAGACTCCAATATTATCTACATCAAAAACCCTAAGCATAAGTAAATTAATGAAAAAGTTGAGCTTTTGGCAGCGGAAACATGTCTATCCATTGGCGAAGGTAAACTGCAGAAATCCGAGGTTAAAATCTCCAAGTCCTAAATAAGTGAAACAAAGTTGTCTGATAGCAAACATGATGCTGTTTACCTCAGATACTAATCTGAAAGCGACACCAAATGAAAACGGTGGGCAAATGTACGGAATAAGTCTTCTGTCATCCAAGGTTCGGTCGCCGAAGATCACCACCGTATCGTCTAAGAAAATTGACCAATTCATAAGTAGGCAGTTCAATGAGGTGGCGATCTAGCCAACTAAAAAGGCATCAATATACAGGTTATGGTTCGACAGGGCTTTGTTTCTGTCTTGCCCGAATGGCCATCGTTTCTTATCTCGATGAGGAAATGTCTGAGTGATAGTCTGAGCGATAGGCTTGCAGAACACAAAATTGATATCTGCATCCCGAGTTCAAGTATTCTCAATACTACCTAACGGCAAAGCGTAATTGATGTGATAGAGAACCACATATAGCGGCAAAAGCATTATACAAAGGGAGGCCTGAATGACGAGTATGTCCATGATCCAGACTCCTGTGGTGTTCCCGTTCACATACTAAACGGACACGTCCGGTGAGTGGTGGTGGCAGTTAAGTGCCGAGGGGAAAAAACAAGCGAATAGCGCACTGAACAAACGATACGCCATGAGGTGCACAAAAAGAAAAAGTGCCGGAGTGGCCTAACTGATCGATAGACCATGAAACCCTATAATCAAATGACCTCCAAATTACCTTCACAAGATTTTCCAGTTCCAGATCCGAAATCTGAGGTTCCGGAAGAACCAGCTTCGACCGCTTGAGCACGGGCTCATCCAAAGCACTACCGCGATGAAGTAGAGCACCCGGTAAATCATCCTGTAGACGTTTCGTTTGTCGCTCCGCATCCTTTTTGCGCTCACGCTGCAAAAAAGGGAGTTTGTGATAAACCCCAGTTTCAGTGAGTTGCGAACATGGCCAGTACGAACCATGAGGTGACTTACCTTCTCCCGCTCCATGTAGGACTCTTTCTCAACGTCCGAAAGTCGTAAACGTTGAAAATCCATCAACTTAGGGTCCGGCTTCTCTGTGCTGGTGTCGTGAAAGCCCTTGGGAGGTTGCTTTTCAAACGGGATTTCTGAATTGTAATCCATAAAAGGCTTGGTTTTAGGCATTAAACCGAGGTAAGACCCCAATCCAGCAGCACGAAGTTCGCGCCGTTTTTGCATCATCGCCATGCGCCGGGCGATTTCCAACTGACGTTCACGAGCCTTCCGTTTCGCTTTTTTTCCCTGGATAAAAATACAGAGAATGTGTTGCAGCACAAAGTAGGAACGCATAAAACGAGGCGATCAAGCAGCTGGGCAATAGTTAGAAAAAATCAAAAAGCGCCATCAGCAGTTAGAGTACAGGACGTAGAAGAAGGCGAAACGAAACATTAAAGCCTGAGTAAGAGTGAGCCATAAGACGGTACACAGTAAAAGGCCGAGAACTGCAGTGAGAAAAAACTAGACGGAAACCAGCTGTTAAGACGCGCTTATTTATAGAAAACAGGAAACAGACACGTGGTCAAACGGACCGAAAGTGGACCACGGGTTATCAGTACGTGGCGCTGTTCTAGAACCTGATAATATGCGCAAATATACTACGCCCGTAACTTCTTGCAGCCAATACAAAGCCGGAGTGCAATGGTCATCAGTAGTTTGGAAACAGTAGAGGCGAGCCCAATACCTTTATGACTGCCACTCTATCACCAATAATAAGGGTGGCAAAAATGTGCTGGTCCGAAAACATTTTGGACTTGTATGCTACGAATTGGGAATACGTTTAAAAAGATAAGGCAATCAAACAGAGTGAAATATAGCACTCTCTAAAAATAGGAAACGTAGTGGCTGTGCATTGTTAAATGCGAGTAACAGCTGAGCAGAAGAAAAATAATATGCCTAAAGAGCTACCCAGCTTATTCAATCAACTGCTGCCTCTATTTTCTTTTGAATATTTGCGGATAAGCTCAACCTGCGAGAGATTATGTCTGGCTTTGCTACTTACAAGAACCGTGTACCTAGAGAACTAATAAAATCAGAGAACTCATTTCCCACTGAGTCATTCAATGTATGTGCCTTATAGTAAAATAATCGAGAGTAAAATAATGGACCACATGTATGCACAATTGCAGAAATACACATACGGGACTGCAGCTTTGTAACGAAACCTCAACTGGTCGGCTCGGAATTCCGAAGTGATGACTATATACTTCGCAGTTCCGGTGATACCAAGTCGAGAGTTAGAAGTACTCATATTGTTCGTGTTGCTCTCAAGCGAAGGCAATTTCCAGGAAGTATCCCAGTAAATATTCCTATAGGTGTAGTCGAATTCAGTCTCATCAGAAGTAATGGATGGCGTTAGATGGAGCGCGCTTTTACTGTTTCAGTGTACGCATAGACGGACTAAGTCATGAGTGCATTTAATATAGAACCGTCATCTATCATCATCAGCATTATACGCGTTTGTTAGAGGTATAAAACACCTCAGCTACTGTATCACAATAAGCAAAAGAGAAAAATGCAACAGTTGCATGCCAGCTGAGTTAACAGCAACGGATGGGCGTCGATCCGGAAAGCTAGCAGTTGGCTACTAGCTAAAAAATTGTTATGTAAGAGTATATTATGCTACGAAATGGTTGGAGGAGGAAGCCAAAAAAGATGGGGAGGGACAAAGAAACTCAGCAAGAACGCCCCTGAGGTCGGCTCCTGGCAATGTCAGCAAGTATAGCCAGTCAAACGGGTTCATCGTCTTTTGGACCCCAACCAGGCAGCCGTGACGCTCCAACCGAGGAGAGCATCGAAGTGAGGGCTTTCATTCTTCTCGACCAAGTCATTGCTTGGCCACCTCTCCTTTCATCCGCACCCCCGACGAGCAAACAACGCACACCGCGCGAGCCGGTGGGCTGGTATGCGTAACACGTGGCCGAGCCATCGGAGCCTGGCGAGTGAAATGACGGTGCTGAGCGGTTCATTTTCTTTTCCTGTGCCGTGAACAAGGCGTTGAACACGCTCGTTGCTCACGCGGTGTTCCCACCAGATGTCATCCCACAACTACACACACAGGAATATGGATGCTGTGATGTTTTCTTGTGGTATAGGCTCCCCCAAGTAGACGAGTTGTCAGAGACAGAATAGCACATGGAGTGGCATGTAAACTAAGTGTTGTTTATTCGAATGAATGCGACGGGATTTCCCAGTTACATGGAGACTACAGCCTTCCATCACAAACGTCTGGACCGCGTCTTCGGGTGTGGACAGGACATGCTGCTCTGAACAACGACTGACCATATGGTCGTCTGTAGTGCAATATCATGGATCGATCTGGAGCATCACCTTAACTTCCGACATTTTCCAGAACGCGCTAATCTCGTTGAATCTCCAGGAGGAGGCAATGAATCTAATCCCCGCGTTGCGTACCATAGTTAGTCAAACAGCAGTATCGAAGCGAGTTGGAAACCTAGATATCAAAGAGGAACGGGATGATTAGCCGAATGTTGACTGAAGCTGTCTCTGGTGAGTAATGAGCAAGGTTTTCGAAACCGACCGTCCGTCAAGAGTAAGGCACACAAATAGTGAGTGCAACTACGACGACTACATCAGCATAGCCGAAATACGGCAAATGATTTAGACGAAACTAATTTGGGTGTGTGGACGATACATAGAAATAGCGTCTGGTTAGAAGAATCAGATTTGATCAAGGAAGCCGGCGGATTGCAATAATCAATGAAGTGGATACCATTGTCAAAAGTAACAACCGAGTAGTGTTTCAGCTCATTAGGGAAAAAACCAGAGGCAGTACGCCGGCACATCGTACCAACGCTTCGTTGCTATGCGACCAGCAACTGTCGCGCAGGCGTTTATACCGTGGGGTCGCTCGCAGCAATGCGGACTCGCACCGACCGCCGGATTACAATGCAGGTGCGTAAGCCCTTCAGCCAGTGGCCAACCATTCGAGAAAAGGGTTTGAGAAATATGTAGTCAATTAAAAAATAGCTGCAAAAGCCATCAGCAGCACGCCGGTACGCGGTACCGACGTTTCGCTGTCAAGCCACCACTACTAGTCGCACATGGGCTAAAGATACTGGGAGGGTTACCTGATCCCATACACAGGCTTGAACCCGCGAGCTCCGGATTAATAGGCAGGCTTGTGGTCTTTCAGGCCACGGAAAGGCATAGCTGCGAAAAACCAGTAAACGAAGCACCCTCGGATCCACCTAGTTAAAGTATGGTTGGGGCATCTCAAAGAGAAGTTCAGGGGTTGCTGTGTCTGCTATGCTTCGTGACTCAAATGAAACCATAGAGGATGCAGGCGTTTTGTATCAAACATTCACAGGTCCGGTCCGAACTAACATTGTTGGGACGGAATGATAGGTCTGGACTCGATAAACTACCACCAATGCTGAATGACGGCGGAGAATCTATAAATAATCATCTCATCTCGTTTCATTTCACGTCAGCCAAACAACTATGATCCGGACACCGAAGCGCGGTGGATTCAGTTATCACGACTCACGTCGCCAGAACAATAAATAACGATGAAAAGAAAACGAGGTTGAGCGCAAATAGAATACAAAGAAAAGGGAATCAGGACAGAAGTGCACAAAATGAAACAGGATAGAACAGATAGTAACAACCCGATGTGAAAAGTCGAATGAATGAACGACACTGATGGCACGACAGCGCCGTGTATGATGGGGTTTCTAAACATTAGTGTGGACCATCCAGCGGACCTCGTTCATGAAGACGGCACGCAACAACCAGACAGAGCCCCTCAGTTAATTCCTTCATGCCTTTATGACACGTTACTGACTTGGCTCCTCGCGGTTTCGCCCAATTTGAAGAAGCCACGGCGTACAATGCACGGCGAAGAAGACGGTCAACAGGGATACGGAAGACGCGACCCAAGCACCGTAAGCGATATTCAGCATTCAAATGAAGCACCAGAAGGCTTCTTGCGAAAACCAACTGGCGGACCTACGCATTGTCACTCGGTGTTTTCACCAGATGTGATCAATACTCCGCAAGCACAAGTGATCAAATACTGACCAAGTGTTTAATGTCTTAACTGCAAACTGACGTCTCTGATCCATACAGTAACACCGCCTTCTTCGCAGCGTCATACATTATCTTGCACTGACAGACGGATACATCGCGATTTTCAGAGATGGTTGAGCTTCTGAAATGCCACACGGGTTTTGCTGATACGTGAAGTAACTTTCTTAGTGATGTGACTACCAGATGTGATAGCTACCAAGACGATTAAAGAGATCCACCAGTTTCAGTGGTTGCTCGCTGATAGCTAGAAACGGCGGCGTATCGGCCTAGTTCTGCAACAATACTTTGCAATTTGAAGTTGCAAAGCACCTGTTGACGCGTGCAGCTCTACGCGTCATTATGCAATAGTGGTTGCATAGCCACTGTCTCTGACTCAAAAAGAATTAAGTCGTCGGCGTCCTCAGGGTTTGTTAGTCGATCCCCTGGCAGAACATCCATTCCGGAAAGAACGGGTTCATGAGTAATTCGATTACAAAGTTATAGAGGAAATGAAATATAGGGCAACCCTGAGGAACTCCACTTGTCGTTGGGAACTCAGGAGACAGCTTTCCGTAGACTCTTATCCGGTCTCGGGAGTCACAGTAAAGATTTCGGGATGGAAAGGAGTTTTCCAAGCAGTTCCTTCGCGGACAGCCAGTGCCACAAGTTGGTACGATCAACAGAGTCGAAGGCGACTTCAGGTTAAAGAAAGCCCCCACAGTCGGTCGGCAGTAATTTTGTCTCTGCTTTAACAAGTGACGAATAATAAGTATGTGATCGATGCGACCAGGATAGTGACGAAGGCAAGCGTAGTCCTTAGTGATTCGGCTCCCAAGAGGACCAGTAAGTCGTCGAAGAAAGATACTCGTGAGAAGTTTGGAGGCAATGGGAAGAAGGGTAATGCCTCGATACTTTTCGCACTAAGTACGCTGACCGTTCTTGAAGATGGACACGGCAGTTGACAGCTGCCAGTCCGAAGACCTTTCTAATGTTCCGAATAGAGCAGCAAATTTAGTCAGCAATGAGTCACTATCTTTCAGCAAAAATGGAGGAGTCGTGCTACGGTTCAACATGAAAAGGTCATGTCGAATCTCTTTCAAAGTGGGAGATGTGACCTCAATTTTCCACGTCGACTCAGGTGATTCAGCAAACGGCAATGTCGCAGAAAGCCTGCTGAACTGCTCTTTAAAATATTCTACCCCACGGGCCAGTCG